TTTTCTTCTTTTTCTCTCTTTTAAATTTACCAATCAACCCTTTGGATATATCAATAATAATAATAATAATAATAAAAACATAATTTATAATATATCAATAAAAGGAGATTAATGGGTGTTAGTTCATGTGCATTTTAGCCCACGAGAATCCAATACAATTGTCTCATTAAAAAAAATAAAAAATAAAAAATAAAAAAGCACATAAAACGCGTCTAGGGAGAGGTTTCCACACCCTTATAAATAATATTTCGTTCCTCTCTTCAACCGATGTGGGATCTCACAATAAAGCAGATAAATGGTATTAGAGTCAGTCATTGGATGGTGCGAAACAATGATCGGAGTTCGACTATGCCCTCTCGAGAATAGGCATGTTTTAAAATCGTAAGACCGACAAGGCAGTCACCCATAGAAATGCAATTTGTTTTTGCGTGGATAATAAAAAAAGAAACGTAGATAGTGGAGTACAACAGTGGATTAGCCTCTAATTATCGGTAAATTAATCCCATTTTTTAAAAATTAAAGTTAAACCAATCAGAGATTAAGCGACAAGTAGTGGACACTGCATTATATTTTTCATTGGTTACTCTTTAAAGCATATTTCTAATGGAAATGTGACCAACAAACCCTAATTCCCTTTATTTCCTTTAATTTATGAAATTAAATTCTCTTTCATATCTATGCATTAAATAAATAAAAATAAATATCTTTTAAGTCAAAATTATCCCACTACTCTATGACTTCGTTTCGACGCCCTAACGTTTAATGGAAGAAGTTAGGCATATATCGTACACCCTTTATTTCACACAAAAAAAAAAAAATATATATATATATATATATAGTTTAAGCATACCGTACATTCCATCCAAATAAACATTTTTTATGATGGCAAACCGTTCGAATTTGGTAACATGTTTTTTTGGATTACTTTTCCAATATATATATTACGAAGGTTGGAGGCCAAGTTGAAAGGGCATCCCTTCACTTTAAGGGTTACTCTATCTCGACTTCTAATTGACGTGAGACATTTATGGATAATTAGGTCAATATTCTACTCCAATTTACTAAATCTAATTTTTTTTTCCGTTAAATTATCTTTGACGTTGATTTTTAATCTAATATTTATGAAATGGGTAAAAAATAATACTCAATTTTTTGAAAAATAAAAGAGAAAAGTTTAGGGTATTTTTTTTATAATACATGTTTTTATTTTAATTAAATAAATTAATATTTGAATAAGTTGTTAAGTTAATTAAATAGTTATAAAATGGTTTAATTATTGCAGTTGCTTAGATTCCATGTTATCAACATGTTTATATGATTAATATAATTTAAAGACATTCCTTTTTTTTTTCTTTTTCTTTTTGTTGAAGAAATTAAATAAATTAAGTTTTTTGAAATAATTATATATTAAGTGGTTTAGGTTATCCTAATGGATGTCTGTTTGAGATGTAATCTTATCGTAAATCCTATAATCTTCCTTCCTTCTTAAAATATCAAATTCAATTTCACATTCTAATACTTTAATGTCTCTCCATCATAATCCAAATTATTATTGTCCTATCATTTATTAACAACATCAAAACGTGTTCCGATACAACGCTTAAATCTCTTCCAATTTGTTACACGGTTTGATTTTGACTAATGAACTTTCGCACCCAATCGTGTTGGGTCATCTTCAACCTTTTGGACTTGATAGGATATTAGGCATATTTAACGAGAAAGTGCACTCGAACTCCTTTCATGACAATATTAGATGGAAAAGAGAGTAAAATGGTCTTAGAGTGTGAGATCCCACGTTGGTTGGAGAGAGTAATGAAACATTCTTTATAAGAGCGTGGAAACCTCTCCTTAATAAACACGTTTTAAAACTGTGAGGCTGACGACAATACGAAACGAGCTAAAGTGGTCAATATTTGCTAACATGGTCTCGGGGACGCTGGGCTCCCAAAGGATCCCACATTGGTTGGAGAGGGGAATGAAACATGTCTTATAAGAATGTGAAAACCTTTTCCTAGCAGACAAAAGTAGTGGTCTTGAGCGGTTACAAATGGCTTTAGAGCCAAACACCAAGTGGTGGGTTAGCGAAGATGCTGGCTCTCTAGGGAGTGAATTGTAAGATCTCACATTAGTTGGAGAGGAGAATGAAACACTTCTTATAATAATGTGGAAACCTCTCCCTAATAGACGAAAGCGATGGTCTCGAGCTGTTACAAAGGGCTTTAGAGCCAGACACCATGCGGTGGGTCAGTGAGGACGCTGGGTTCTGTAGAGGGTGGATTGTAAGATCTCACATTCGTTAGGGAGGAGAATAAAACATTTCTTGTAAAAATGTGAAAATCTCTTGCTAGCAGACGCGTTTTAAAATCGTGAGACTAACAACGATACGTAACGGGCCACAGACAATATCTGAAGTTGGATAAAGCAAACTCCCTCCTTAAACGAACGGGGGGCTTAGTCAAAATGGCCGAAGGGAAAGGAAAGACGAAGAGAATAAATGAAATATATAGCCGTCCAAATTTCTTATATTATATTAATATATGATATATTCATATTCCAAATTATATTCTATAGAGAAGAATTAAGCGTAGATAAAAGATAGGTTCATAAAAAAAAAAGAATCGCATATCTTGTCACACACAGTCCTACGTTATGTTCTGTAAAGGAATTATTTTGTAAAGCATCATATATCAAATCAATATTACTATTTTCAAAATAAATATTAATTATGAAATATTTTTTTAATTTTTAATTTTATGTTTTCTTATAACTTAGTTTTATAAATTATATTTATTTCATCCTCTTGTATATACTTTCAACAAAAACTTTAATGATCACTTTATCTTAAACATCATAATTAAAAAAAAACGACGTTTTATTTGACATTATAATTTATTGATTAGTCATATATTTTTTTGCATTAACTACATTAATGCCAAAATTACTTATTAAGATATTATAGGTTTGTAAACATTGTCACGCCATGTTTTCATTCAATTTGAAAGAGTTGTTTGTCGATATCGATCGTTCTAACTCAACTAGCATAGTCAAATAGCACAAAGAATAGATTTTTTATTTATTAATATAAAGATTCGAACCTCGAACTCTCTCAAGTGACATTATTAATTGAATTATGGTGTTATGGTTGGTTAAAAGTAGATAAAAAATAAAATTTTTGGAACAAAAAAATGTCCACTTACAAGATGGGAAGCAATGATGTAAAGTAAATTCAAAAAATTGACCCGAACGTCTTAGTAGGGATCAAAGTTGAGGTTTGTAAATCTCGATAGGTGGAACGGGTCGAAGTTTAATTTGATAAAAGGTTAGCGAAAGGCACAAACTTTTCTCTCTCTTAATTTTTGCCTGTTTCTCTCTCTAGAAACACACTATATAATTCTCCAGGTTCAGCGCATTGGAGTCTGCCAAAAATTTCCTCCCATTTCTCTCTCTGCTTTTCCCTTAATTTAACAGAGAGAGAGAGAGAGAGAGAGAGAGAGAGAATGGTAAAATTCTCGAAGGAGCTGGAAGCTCAACTGATTCCTGAATGGAAAGACGCCTTTGTCAATTACTGGCAACTCAAGAAGCTGGTAAAGAGAATCAAGTTGTCTCAAACACCTAACCCTCCTCCACCCTCCGCCGCCGCCGCCTTCATTTCTTCCCTCGCCGGAAAGTTCCGCGGCCTCCCCTCCGACCACCATCTCTCTCAGGTACCCATTTCAAATCCCACGCCGTTTTTAATGGCTATACCAAATTTGACGTTGGGATTTAAAATTCAAGTGATATTGTTGTTGGGTATTCAAGAAAATCAAAAAGAAAAAGAAAAAAAAAAAACCCTTTTTGATTTATATATATATGTTCATGATATCTCTCCACGAACCCATCGTGATTCATTAGAAAATGACGCTTTTGTCCACCTCATCAAGAACCCATAGCCATCCCAATTAATGTTCTTTTCTTTTTGTTATTATTTCAGGTGAAGAAGAAGAAGAAGAATGACAGCTTTGAAGATGGTGATCCTAATGAACACCATGAAACAGAACTGTCTCAGTTCTTCTCTGAAGAAGACGAAGTAAAATCTTTGATCATTTATTTTTATTGGGTTTTTTTTTTTTTTTTGTTTGTTTGTTGAAATTAAAAAGTCAAATTTAATTATTTTTCAGGTGAAGATATTTTTCGAAACGTTGGATGAAGAATTGGAGAAAGTTAATGAATTTTATGGAAGTAGAGAGAGTGAGTTTATGGAGAGAGGGGATAGTCTTAGAGAGCAGCTTGGAATTTTGCTTGAATTCAAACGGATTCTTGAAGATCGCCGCCGTAAAATTTCGCCGTCGGCATCCTTTTCCCGTTCCTCCTCCACCTTTTCTCCACGTCACTCCAGTTTTTCCGGTGATTCCTCAGATTTGTTTCCATTTTTGGTTTTTATTTTATAAAGTTCGGTCAATTACGTCACTCTCCACACTTACATTTTCCCGCCAATTATTTCTAAGCTTTAGTGGTTGACACGTGGCGGGTTAATCCTGAATGCAGAGAACACAGAATCAAATGAAACGTCAGCAGAAGTATCGGAGACGGATGAAGCAATAGCGGCGCTGGAGAAGCACGGTGTAACGTTCATTAACGCCGCCGTGAGAGGTAAAACGAAGAAAGGGAATAAACCCATGATGGCGCTTCGAGTGGACATTCCGGCCACTACTCCGGCGAGGACAATCTCCGCCGTGATGGGGATGTTATGGGAGGATCTCATCAACAACCCAAAAAAGGACGTTTCCGGCGACTCCATTAGCCGTAAAAAAATCCAGTGGGCTGAGAAGATGATACGTGGCGCCTTTGTTGAGCTCTACAAAGGCCTCGGCCTCCTCAAAACCTTCAGGTCCAAAATTTTATACATTCTTTTTTAAGTGTGTGGCAAAAAACAGAGCTCATGGTTTGATTTCTGTGTGGCAGCTGGCTCAACATGAAGGCCTTCGTCAAGATCCTTAAAAAGTTCGACAAGGTGATTAATTAATTATGCCCGTAACTTAGTCAAGCCCACCGCTAGCAAATATAGTGGAAGATTTCCACGCTCTCTTATAAAGGGTGTGTGGTTCTCTTCCCCAATCAATGGAGGACATCACTGAATTAAAGGATAATTTACGTGTTTTTGGTGGAACAGGTGGCGAACCAAAAGGCGTCAGCCAGCTATCTTCAAGGAGTGAAAAAGTCGGCCTTTATCAGCTCCGATAAGGTATGCCTGAAAAGAAGGAATTTAATTAGTTAATTAAATTCCTAAATGAATATTAATTTCGGAAATGATGTGTTTAATGAAGGTTGTAAGACTAATGGACGAAGTGGAATCCATATTCACAAAGCACTTCGCCAATGATGACAGAAAAAAGGCAATGAAATATTTGAGGCCTCAGCAGCCTAAAGATTCCCACATGACCACTTTCTTTGTTGGTAATTTTTTTAATCTCTTAAACCATTTGAACATAGCTTAGCAGTTAAAATAAGGTAAGATAAGATATTTACCTTTCGAGCTCTCGAATTGTTGGTTGGTTTCAGGATTGTTTACGGGTTGCTTCGTGTCGTTGTTCATTGTATACGCAACGTTGGCTCATTTGTCTGGCGTCTTCTCTGGTCCAAATGAAGTTTCTTACATGGATGTTGTGTATCCTGTTTTCAGTATGTTTGCGTTGCTAAGCCTGCACATGTTTATGTATGGCTGCAATCTCTTTACCTGGAAACAAGCAAGAATCAATTATAACTTCATTTTCGAGTTTCAGTCGAGTACGGCACTTAAGTACCGTGATGCTTTTCTTATTTGCACTACCACCATGACTGCTGTGGTTGGAGCTCTTGTGATTCACTTGATCTTAGGGCTCTCTGGTTTCTCACCTGTCCAAGTTGATTACATTCCGGGACTTCTTCTTCTCGTTAGTTCTTCGATCTCGAAATCATGGCAATTTATCTGTTTCTCACATTGTTCTGGTTTTTACTCAACTTCCTTCTTCATCTTGTTCTTCAGATTTTTGTTGTCCTTCTCATATGCCCGTTTGACGTGTTCTACCGACCAACACGCTATTATTTTCTACGTGTGTTTCGGAACACGATTTTCTCTCCTTTTTATAAGGTAAGCAGGCAACCGCAGTTTCTTTCTCACTACATCATGTGTTCGTCTTTTACAACTTTGAAATGTGTTCTTCTTTTCAGGTTCTCTTAGTTGACTCTTTCTTGGCAGACCAACTTACAAGCCAGGTATATGATATGATATGAATGCTTACACATTGAGTAAGAACTTACTGTTGCTGCAGCTTGTTAATCACTTTTGATCTTTGTATGTTGACAGATCACTCTGCTGAGGCTCATGGAATCCACTATCTGCTACTTCACTGCGGGTTCGTTCGGCATGCGTCGAGGTGAGGTCTGCAAATCGGGGACATTATACTGGGAATTGGCTTACCTCAGTTCATTTTTGCCATACTATTGGCGTGCAATGCAGGTGATCTCTGAAGTTCTATCGTTTTTCTTACTAGCTTTTTAATCGATAACTCGATATACTTGAACTGACACCGTGATCTTTCATGTTCTATTCTGCGGGATCAAGTGTGCAAGAAGATGGTTTGATGATAATGACTTGGACCATTTGGCTAACTTGGGCAAGTATGCATCGGCCATGGTGGCGGCCGGTGCCAGGCTTACATATTCTCGGCAAGACACTCACTTCTGGTTCATAATCGTCTTGGTCACTTCCTTTGTAGCAACAGTATATCAGTTGTACTGGGATTTTGCCAAGGACTGGGGAATTCTCAACCCGAAATCTCGAAATCCATGGCTTCGAGACGAACTCATCTTGAAGAGCAAAGGCATCTACTACCTGTCAATTGTGAGTTCTATCTGCAAATGAGATTATAAATTCCATTCAGTACAGTAAGGTTATTCAAATCAAGTGATAAATGAAATTATTTGCAGGTTTTGAATGTGATCCTAAGAGTTGCTTGGGTGGAGTCAGTGTTACAGTTGCATAAATTGCACATTAGAAACATCGAGTCGAAAATGCTCGACTTCCTGTTGGCTTCGCTCGAGGTTATCCGACGAGGGCATTGGAATTTCTACAGGTATAGCACCTATCCTGTGTACAACCATCTAACAACAACATTGCTATAGGCTTAATCTTTCCTGATTTGCTAACCACACATTTTATACCGCAGATTGGAGAATGAACAACTAAACAACGTTGGAAAATACAGGGCTGTGAAGACAGTTCCTCTACCATTCCTCGACGCCGACTCCGATGGCTAAGACCGATTTATGAATGTACAGGTCTGGTTGCTAACAAAGCTGACCTGAAGGAAGGGATGAGGATGGCCAACATATACTAAACTATAATTAAGCTCCATCTCATTCATCCTATTGTTCCAATTCACACTTGTAAAGTACAAAGTGTAATTTCCGACGCATGGTCCCAAGCGACAAAACTCTCGCTCGGCTCCTCGACACATAGTAATTTGATTGGTAAAGTGTAAGGTAACCCTATTTTCTCAAATTGTAAGGAATGCTTGTTTCTAGTGAAGTGTTAGCTGCTCGAGCAGCAGTTGAAACTACCCCGAAATCTGCCCCGTGTGTGTGTATTGTACGTGCTCGTGACAACTCCAGAAGATACCAAGTTAGAGTTAGCTTACAATTGCAATATTCTAAGCAACAGAACTCATGTACCTTGGAGATTGAAATTCAAAACAATGAACACCAATTTGGGAGCACTTTCTTCTCCTACCTTTGCTTGAATCTGTATGAATCGTTTGAAAATTTTGTTTGGGTTATAACAGAACAGACATAATATATAGCAGAATTAACAACAGTTCATGAGGAAATCGAAAAAAGAGACTGAATGAACAACAATAAATGGATCATTTTTAACTGCATGATCAAGCAAACAATAAACATCTGAGGAACCTACTTCAGTAACAATGCGGCTAATCTGTTCGAGATACAGTAAGCAGTGGATTGGATAGTAATCATGGGATTGACACCAACAGCAGTTGGAAGAACACTTGCATCACAAACAAAAAGCCCTTCAGCTTCCCAGCTCTCTCCATTTTCATTGACAGCGCCGTCTTTTTCAGAAACCCCCATTTTGCAGCTCCCCATCTGATGAGCTGAGGTATAGATATTCCAATTTTCTGTCAGTGATAGTGGCCCTCCCTCTACGGATATCGTATCCAAAAACTCATCCAATTCCTCCTTCCCAATCCCTTTACATTCAAGTCTCTGTCCATCACTCCTATGTGTGCCAACTTCAGTAGCTCCTGCAGCTACCAAAATCCTCAACGACTGTCTTAACCCCCTCTTGAGGTTTTCCCTGTCTTCTTCACTCAAATTGAAGCTCACCCTTCCCTCTGATCTTACCGCCCCGGATCCCGAATCCCGGACGATTGTTATCAAATGGGAAATTCTCGAATACTTGAGCATTCTTTGCTTAGTGTCAAGTCCAGATATCCAAGGAAACAACACAGAGAATGATCCTGGTCCTAATAAAGGAGTCTCTATGATGGTTTTAGAATTTGATTCGGATCCTTCAGAGGTAACCTTGTGGAGTGATGTGATTATTCCCCCCTCGTAGGATTTTCCCTTGAACTCTGAATTTGAGTCTGGAAAGTATCCCCAAGCCATCAAAACAGGGTGAAGATGAAGATTTCTGCCAATGTGTTTGTTCCTCAGCCCACTTGATATCATCACTGGCGGTGTCAAAAGAGCCCCACAAGCTGAGATGGTAGCTTTGGCTTTGATTTGCAGTTTCTTGGTAAAGTTGTCACTCCAAACATTTGCAAGCACTCCCAAGCACTTGCTCTTCCTCACACTTCCAGTTTTGTTCCTTTCCAATATGAATCTCTCAGCCTTACAATTTGTTATGATCACTGCCCCATGATTCACAGCATCAACGAGCCAAGTAGAATCAGTCCCTTGTTTCTCCCCCCTTCTACAACCATAGCCGCAGGATCCACAATAATGACCGCTTGGGGAATTTCTTGGTACTTTTTCAACTTTAAGCCCCAAATTTTCACACCCTTTTCGAAGAACTTGATTCTGAAACCCCTCTTCATCACAGTCTTCTGAAACCCCAAGTCTCTTGCACACAGCATCCATTGCGATTTGATATTCAGAGGTTCCAAAGAACGGAATCTTGTGGCTCTCAGCCCATTCCTGCAAAACGTGATTTGGGGTTCTGATGCTCGCCGACCAATTAACGGCGGAGCCACCGCCGACGGTTGAACCTGCCAGAATCAACATTTTCCCATCATCACTTGTGAAAATCCCACCGGCTTCGTACAGTTGATTGAGGGAAGGGCCTTCAAGAGATGAATAATCAGATGCAGTAAAATAATTCCCTTTTTCGAGAACCACCACTTTCTGGCCGGAACTTGCGAGAACCGCCGCCGCAACGCCTCCGCCGCAACCGGACCCAACAACCACCACATCACATTGGATGGAAAGGGTGTCGCCGTCGTCTCCAGTGACTCTGAGACCCTTCTGTAAGAGGGATTTTTGAAAGGATGATTCTGTTTCGTTGTTGGGTTCTATGATTCCCTTCTGGAGAGGCCTCTCATCGGAGGATTTGGACCGATTCTCCTCAATATCCGGCCGGTATTTTATGGCTTCCCAAGCAGGGAAGCCGCCATTGACATCAACCTGTGTCGAAGCAATAAAAGTTCATCCAATTATTATGCCATATTTTCTCTGAAATTAAGGATTTGTTTTGTTCACTAATTTCACTTATTTGTGTCTCTGCTTCAAAAGACTGTATTTTTAATCATAAATTTTACATAAAATATTGTGACAAGAAGATACATCATAGTTTTTCTGGTCTCCACCTATCCTTGATGTGTGAAATAAACCCTCTTGAATTTGATGAGCAGAAAGTGAAATATATTAAATGCAAATATACATACATACATATATATATATATACACACAATTTCATAATATATTTGTTTTCTATTTTCTAATATATTTTCAACTTTTTTTTATAAATATATTTTCATGACTAATTTTAAAATTATATGAACTAAAATTAGGCTCATGAATGAATTTTAACCAAATTAGAAAAAAAAAAATTAGTTTTGTATACTACTAATAGGTATAAAAAATGAGTTTCTATCAATAACTCACCTAGAAAAAGACATATTTTTTAATCGACTAATATATATATCTTAACTATTAAGAGAAAACAATAATAAATGAAACTTATAGGGTGAGGTGCCGTATTTTAGAGTTCAATTTCCTCAGTTATTAGCATTTAATGAATTTACTTTAAATGTGTGTATATTAGAAGTTGGGTATTAAAATCAACACTTTATTAAGTAGGTATGTCTCTGTCCCTCTTTATTGCATTTTCCTAATAATACTCATACATTTACATTTTATTCAATAATTCCATATATTCACTCTTTTTTTCTTAATCAAAATAAAAAAACAAATAGTGTTTTTGAAAATTAAAAAAAAAAAAATTGTAGAGAGAGATGGAGAGATTACCCTAGAAAAGAAGGTATAGAGGACAAGAACTCTGATGGAAGCAAGAGCAGCTCTAATGGGCGTGAAAACCTTATTCTTATACCATCTCCTCAAAGCTTCCTCTCTGTTCTCCAATGGCATGCTCGAGAAATTGCAGATATAAGGCCATTTCCTGCAAAAACAGAGCGATCCACAGAGCAGCAACGTCCCTAGCCTCGTACCTAGCAACCACAGCACCATCCGCACCAGTATCACGAGTTCAGTCAATCCTCTTTTCGCGACTGTCTCTGCAACCTAATTTCAACTTCCATAAACCTAACTTAAAATCCACATCGAATCAAAGAACAATATCCACATCTTTTTCCGTCACTAAACTCACCTCATCCGGAATCGGAGATCGCGAACCGGACGCCGCGTAAAACGCCTCGATTGCGGCCGCGTCGGCAGTATCGATCTCATCGCTGCCGTTGTTGTTTGATGAACCGAGCGGCAGAGGAGGCAAGATAGTGTCGCAGATGGTGGCTAAAGACTCCATCTCCGCCACGGAGAAGCCATGCGTGAACTTGCCGCTCCTTGTTCCTCTCAACAGGGGATGGCACTCCAGTCTCCGCATCGTCGCTCTGTAGATTGATTGAATATGAATATGCCTCTGCTCCGAGACGAGGGATCTCTATATATAGTTGTGCTGATCACAATTCAAAATTCAACGGATTAAAACATATCTTATTCAACAAGAAAAAAAATTCTAATACTAATTTTTGTGTTTTGATTGGTTAGAACAAAATGAGTGATGGATACATTTTCCAAAATTTAAAAATGCTACAAATAAATCTTTTTTTTTTATCTGTTATTTTAAATTAACGTATATGCTATTTAATGTTTATTGAAATATTGAATTGTTGTGTCTATTTAATTAGTAAATTTCACTTTAATTATTAACCATTAATCACTTGACTTTAACACAACTAATTAAACATTAGTGCTTGTTATAGCCAATTAAACATTAGTGAATTTTTAAAATTATTTTTATTTATGGTTTTATTTTATATATTGCAGTAAAAAAAATACGAAAAAAAAAAAGAGATTATTTTTATGGTTTTATTTTCCATCTGAACATATTTTAATGGATAAGGTACTAAATTTTACCATAATTTGACTATCCTATCCGCATGGAATAATTTTTTTTAAAAAAAAACATAATTTCAATAGACATTTAATAGCATTTATGTTAATTTAAAATAACAAATAAAAAATATTTATTTCTAGCATTTTTAAATTTGGGAAAATGTATCCATCACTCATTTGATTTTAACCCATGGTGAGTGTATTATTTGTAGTTATTATTATTATTATTTAATAATAATAATAATTTTTTTTTTCTAGAAGAATTTATTGCTTACTTTAAAAAAATATTTTATTATTTAAATAAATAAATATATATATATATATATATTGACTAGGCTCACTAAGGATCACAGAGTTTTGTGGCCACGTCAACATTTTTCGAAAAAAATTATATACTCTATTTTTTCATCTTTACTTAAAACCCTAAACTAATAATTATAATCAAAATAAACATTTAAGATTTGTTATCCCATAATTTTTACAATTTCTTTACCTACCAACATTAGAAATAATTTTGTGAGATCCCACCTCGGCTGAAAAGAAGAATGAGTGTCAGCAAAGACGCTTGCCTTAAAGGTGGTGCATTGTGAGATCCTAAATCGGTTGGAGAGACGAACGAAGCATTTTTTTATAAGGGTGTAGAAACCTCTCTTTAGTAGACGCGTTATAAAAATCTTGAGAGAAAGTTCGAGAGGAAAAATTAAAAAATACAATATCAACGAGCGATGAACCTAAGACATCCTTAATAGAACGCAAGTTGGGAAGGTACTGTTAGGAAGTAGAAGGGATCCCTAAAAGAGAGGGCTGTGGAAAAAGGAGGATGGTGGGGGACTCTTCTTGAATGCTCTACTTCTTTTCTTTTTCTTGCCTCATCAATCACAAAATGGATTGCTATGTTCTTGTGATTATTTCAACTACTTTTTATACTTTATCATATAACCATACATTGATTTAAGATTCATTTTAATGAATACGACTCGTCACTTAATAGGGTGGAGCAATATTTGGCATTCTCGTGTTCTACTATAGTCCAAACCTATATTTGCTTGCATATCAATTCACGGCAACCAATCAAGTTTATATGTGTTACGTAGGAAAATTGTTCGACTTTAAGGAGTTCTGTCTACTTTGTCATATAGCTCAAATTTTTGTTAGAAACCACGACTTTTTACAATGGTATGATATTTGTCCATTTTGAGTATCGAAGAGAGGATTGTCGAGGATTGTTGAAAGAAGTAGTCCGACATTGGCTAATTAAAAAGAAACTCATGAGTTTATAAGTAAGGAATACCATCGTCATTAGATGAGGCATTTTGGAAAAACCAAAAGCAAAGCCATGAACACTAATGTTCAAAGTAGACAATATCATCTTACCATTGTGGAGGTTCATGATTTCTAACATAGTATCAGAGTCATGCCCTTAACTTAGTCATGTCAATGAAATCTTTAAATGTCAAACAGATAATTTGTGAGCTTGAAGGTATAATCAAATGTGACTGAAGTGTCGAATAAAGAGTGTACTTTGTTAGAGAGTTCTAGAGAAGGAAGCCTCAAGAAAGGCTATATGTTGTTCTTTGTTCGAGAGAAAGATTGTTGAAGATTATCCACTTAAGCTAATTAAGAAAATTATAAGTACGATTGATATTCAAAGGGGATAATATTATATTATTGTGGAAGTTCGTGATTCCAAACATGAAACTTCCGTCTCTTTAAGTATGAACAGAAAATCCATAAGCAAACCTGAAAACATGATCTCATTAAAATCATAAATGCAGAACAATTGCTCTACCATCTTACATGAACACAAAAAATAAGACACAAACATCTTATACAGCTTTTCAAGACAGATCAAACTAAACAGCATTTAGCCAGCAGCTTAAAAAATAATTACCTATGACAATTGTTTCCATGCTGCAGGGCGATCCGTTGATATGAGAAGTGTACGAGATGTCGATGTCGAGTAATCGAACGAAGGTGAATACAAATCATCTGAACCAATGACTTCCCTGAACACTTGGGTGCTTTCAGTATGAACTGAGGAGGGTTGTGAGGCTTCATCGTTTAAGGCATCAAATACAAACAGCCCCAGTCCAGAGACAGCCATGACAAGATTTGAATTCCCCCAAACTTGAGTCACTGGTGTATGATGGGCGTGTAAATTGCTTTCTGGTAATGCGTAAGTGCAGAAGAGGCCCTGTTTTCTAATAGAAAATTGATGTACCACTGAAGAGGCTTGCGGCTTCCTCCCTCCTGACCTGCCACCACTGGAGCAACCAACATACACAGAATCTCCTCGAGAGAAAACAGACTGTGCGCCAAGGCTGGGTTTAGGCAACTTTAGGCCTATTCCTGATGGGCTGCGGAAGTCCAGAATATTTACAGAATCTGTTGTGCAGAATACACCATCGTTTCCTTCTGCTTCTGCTGAACTTATTCTGCATATACCAAACCAAAACCTCTTAGAATCACTGCTGACTAAGAAATATAAATCAGAGAGAATATAAAAAGCTTTTTAGAAGGAAAGCAGGCTGATGGGTTAACCTATTTTAAGATCATATGAAAGCCACTTATGGGCAGGTTTGCTGGTTATAATAAATTGAGTATGGAAAAGATTTAATTTTCAAGAAGTAATAGATTATGGCCAACCCATCTCGTTCCCTTCTTTAATCGATATGGGATCTCCCAATTCGTCCTCCTTCGGGACCTAGCGTCCCGCTGACACTCGTTCCCTTCTCCATTCAATGTGGAACCCCCTAATTCACCCCTCTTCAGAGTCCAGAGTACTTGTTGGCACACCGCCTCATGTCTTCAAGACCTAGCGTCCTTGCTGGTACATTGTCTCTATGTCTTCGAGACCCAACGTCTTTACTGGCACACAGCCTCGTGTCCACCCCCTTCGAGGCCCAACCTCCTTGCTGCCACATCTCCCGGTGTCTGGCTCTAATACCATTCGTAAGGGCCCAAGCCCACCGCTAGCAGATATTGTCCTCTTTGAATTTTCCCTTTCGGGCTTTCCCTCAAAGTTTTTAGAATGTGTATGCTAGGGAGAGGTTTCCATACCCTTATAAAAAATGTTTCGTTCTTCTCTCCAAAACGTGGGATCTCACACATTTCAAGCATTTTCAAACCAACCAGCTGAGCAGTAAAAATAAAAATAAAGGATGATAGTACCTTTGTCGAACTCCTCCCCCTAATTCAGCATCCATGTTGTTGACGTGAAGAGCAGAGATTTTGCGGCCAGATGAATAAACAGAGAGCAATGCATGAGCACTTGTAGAAGCAACATCCCATAGAGATAATGCTTCTGTTTCTGCTACAACGACTTTTCCTCTGTTCCTCCACTGCAAGGGACTAGAATAATCCATTGCTGCCACAGGCTTCTGCACTTCCCAGTTCATAATTTCGTCACTGTCACGGACATCAAAAACCTTTACAATCTTTTGACAGGTAGCAGTTGAAACAATCAGAGGTCCGCACGGCTTGTACCACCACTGTTCCGTTTCAGGCACCAGCATATAACTTGGAGCATAACGCTTTTGCACAATGTTATGGGGTAAGGGAGCAAGTGCCGTCCTTGAAGAGGTCATTGCACCCTCAATCTGGAAAGCTCGTATGTTCTTGCTGTAAAAATCCCATGAGCAAAAACCTGCATCCATCGTATTCCCAGCTGATGCTGCCACCACATATCTTCCAGCGCAACCATCTGCTCCAGGGGTACGTATTATCCAACAGTCTCTCCAAATATTGGGTGAGATTCCTTCTGGTGGCTTGTATACACATTTCTCCTAAACAGATGAACACAATAGGTAAGCAATAAATCTCACCAAACATCTACCAATTTGTACAACACGAGGCATTCTCATAAAACCATTTCAAATCAGTCAACCATTTCAAGTTGTACGAAGGAGGTAATAAAATTGTTGAGAATTATTGGGAGAAGTAGTTTACATTGGCTAATTAAGAGGAAATCATTATAAGTAAGGAATACTATCTTTATTGGTTTGAGACCTTTTGGAGAATCCAAAAATAAAACTACGAGAGCTTATACTCAAAGGGGATAATATCATATCATTATAAAGGGTCGTGATTCCTAACAAAATCATCGTGAGATTAATAAGTATGATCATGACCCATGAGTGTCAATACAGTTAAAAACGAGCTAGTCTTTACCAGAGACTAATTTGAATTACCTCTGTATTAGTAATATCGTAAAACGAGCATGAACCATCGTTATGAGCAAGAAGGACAGCCTCTCCCTCCGACACAAACCATCCACCTATTGAGGTTCTAGTTCCTATTTCATTCATCTGGTAGATGCTAGTATCATCTGTCTCCTCGTCAGTCAGACCTCCTTGTTTATTCTCTTGATCGTCAAAATTATCAAGAATCTCATCGCTCGTGAGAACGAACTCAGCCTCTTGCTTACCCTTGAATTGGGTTGAGGATTCTTGCAATCCTGCAGAAGTATTTCCTTCCATTTCTTGAACTTGTTCGCTCCTGATGGTGACTTTTGTTTGCTCCAAAAACTCCAGAGCAACTGGGTTATCATCAATTGTATGGATGTCATTGCTCTGAGAGGTATCTGATGTTGATTTCATTGCCATCCCATTCCTGAGCAATTTACGATGAGGAAATAGCCTCTCCTCCAATTCCTTGGTGTTAATATCTGCCTCATTGGCCTCATCCTTCAGACCCATTTTGATATCTTTCTCGTTTGTACCAGAACTGACTGCACCATGCCCAATCGCTTTCTCAATCCCAGAAATCTTCTTCTGAATATCTGAAAGTATCAGCTTAGATGAACAAGTACCATTCAAATCCAACATTTCCTTTGTCTTCTTAATATCCGATGCTATCCTCTTTACCTTACCTTCCAAGAAAGCAAGTTTTTCATGGAGCTTGCTTGGATACTTGTTACCTGTACACTCTTTGACAATCTCCAAATCTTTCTGCTCACACTCCAAACTAGAGTTAACACCTCGACGATCTGCAATTCTCGACTCGGCAATGATACAAAATTTTTCTTTTCGTGCTTCATTAACTGCGAAACCGCTCTCGAAAATAATCGAGCTTCTACCATTTTCGTCGCTTCGTAATGTTTCGTCAAAACCTTCCCCAATATGGCTCCCTAAAACCTTAATCTCCAGTGGTTTATCCCCAATTTTCTCATCATCAGCATGTTGCTTAGCCTCAGAAATCCGAAGCTTACTATCCATGCTCGCTCGAAGCTTTACATTTCCCTTCAACTCCCTATAAACCCTTAATTCAGTCGGCCCTCCTCCACCCGCCATCACATTCAGATCCTTAACTCCTACTGTCTGTTTATTACTCTCAGAACCTCTACCACGCGAACCTCTTCCACCGCCCACAGATCCTCTCACTCGATCAACCGAAACCCTCCGGTCCATACGAGAATCAACGGAAACCCTAATAAACTCAGAAGGACTAGAGCACCTACCTCTCGGAACCGAAGACGTGGACCTCCGAGTACGACTTTCAGCATCGGTAACAGCAATCGCCGCAGCCTTGTTCACTTGCGGCACGGCCCGGATCGATGGCTTTTGGGCTATCATCGGAACCTTAAACGTGGACCTCGGATTCTCTTTCCCCGCCGACGAAAATCTGCAGGATGAATCGGAAGTAGCCTTTCGATTGGAACAAGAAACAGGTGTTAGGGGTTTGGAGGACTTGATGGCGGCGTCTAAGGTAGCGGATCCGCCACTGCGATCTCGAAGCCGGCGAGCGGATGGAGCCGACATGGGTGGCGTGGAATTGCCGTGATGATGGGATGGAATGGGAATAGAAAATGGATTAAAATTGTGGATATGAATTTGGGAATGCAACAATGGCGAACCATTATGCATTTGGGCGGGAAATTGATATCAAATTTTCAGTTTTTGAATTTAATTTTCTTGAATAAATATATTTTTATTCCCTAAATCAATGGTTAATAATTATCCATATGAAAAAAGATATTGTACGTTGAGATCTCAATTAGTCAGTTTCACCTGGCCAATCATATTGTTGGATTTCAATTCTATCTGTCCCACCATTTCATACTTCCACTCCTCACCTCCATCTCCTCCTCCGATTTCCTGAACATTCCACTGCAAACCATTCAATTGATGGATCATAAATTTCGCTCGCCATTCAATTAGTTGCCCATGGCTGCTCTAGCAAGCTCTGTTCTTCAGTTTCCACTTCAGATCCGTCCTTCCGATTCCTTTTCTGGGTGTCTTTCTCCATCCAGAATACATCGGATTGCACCTAGTTTCAAGATCAAGTGTTGCGCCGGCGGCCTTTGCTTTCCGGCGACGGTGTACCCAGAAGAAATTTCTCTTGGAAATCTGCTTCAGACAATGTTTACTCCGACCCCTCGTCGGCCTCTCCGTCTGTTGATGAATACATTGGCTCACAAGTTTGAAATCATGGGTTAGTGTTGTTTCCATTTTGGGTTTACAAAAAACCAGAATAATTGATCTATCACAGCTTCCACCATTAGAGGTACCTCGGATTCCAGATGTGTTGAGGCCTCCATCTAACACCGGAAGTGGTGTCTTTGAAGTCACTTACGTTGAAGATGATACCCGGATCACCAGAGGAGATAAAAGGAGAACTCACACTCTGTTTGTTATCGATAAAAGCCCAAACCCACCGCACATTAAAAGCTTTCACTCCGTCCACTAGAGGGATATTTCCACAACCGTAGAGAGTACTTTATTCCCCACCTTTGGAGCCTAGCATATTCGCTGGCACTCCGCTCGGTGTCGGGCTCTGATACCATTTGTAACAATTCAATTAGTTTCGTTAGTTTCGTTATCGACTCTGGGATACCAGCTTATACTCGGAGATCAACTGCTGTAGCCATAGATAGGAAGAGAAAAGCAAGAAGTCTCTGGTTTAAGGGAGAATTGAGGGAGAGAGAGAGAGTATATTAGACGGAAAGAGAGTTGTATTACTTGAGAGATGAAATGTTTCATATGGTGCATAAAAGTGCAACAAATTTGAGAAAGGAACAATAAGCTCTATCTAAGTGCTGTTATTGTGACTACAAAGCTTTGTCAGTAACAGTGGCTTATGATGATCATACTAAACCCCACTGGATTGAAAAGGGGTGCTGAACAATGTAGAAATCCAAATTTCAGATTACATGTGGGACATTATTTTCAAGAAATGGCTGTTCGCTCATGTTACAGAACAACACCCTTCTGCTTGGTAGTAAAACAATAACCGATTACTGAAGCTAAAAATCATATCATCTCCAAGGTAACAAAATTTGGTCCTTATTGGGGCAAGGAACCATTTGAAATGCCGTTTAGTAGTTCCTTGTCTGGAATTCTGCTCATCCCTTCTCTTCGTCAACAACTGGTAGAGTTATGTCTGTTAAAGAGTCGTTGTTTCTTGATTTTGATGATTCACCACCGTCCGATGACCCCTTAGATTTCCTCCGATGAGAATGTTTTGGTACAGGATTTTCTGTGCTTGTTTCATTTCCAGGAGCTGAACCACGACGACGTCGTGAATGTCGCGAACTACCTTCCTGGGGTCCCGAGTCACCTGAGGGGCATGATGATCGCTGACGCCTGGAGCTCTTCTCCGAGTTCCGCCGAGCAGAAGAAGAGTCTAAGGATGAGGAAGAGTCTGTTGAAGTTTGGCGTTTTGACCTTGGAGCTCGACCTTCCTTTTTCACATCTAGCTCTCCAGATTCTATACACAAATATCACTCCTATTACCAACTTCAATTCTACATCCTCAGGAAGATTTCAAACATACCAAAAACCAGCATTCTAAACCAAATCTCAGTCACCCTCAAACTCCGATATTGTGTAGCTCTCATGGCTTTGCTTCTAATTTTCCAAAAAACTTTATACCAACAGAGATAATGTTTGATCTTAATAATTCTCAGTCACCCCAGAATATAGATTAGAAGAAGAAGATGAAGCATACCTCGGACAGAAGAAAGAGCAAGTTCCCCAGTAGAATTAGTCAAATCGCCTGAGTTTTGGGATTGTGGCGAAGATTTGAACTCGTTCATCTGTTAAATTTTGCATCACGCATACAATTCAAATCGATGTTCAGAAAACTTGAAAACAAAAGATGAAATCAAATAGGGCTGAGATTATTCATACCCAGGTAGGTGTATTATTCTGATTAGCAGATGGACCATCCCATCCAATGTGAGCGACATGCTTAACGTCAGTGGGAAGCCCAATCTGCATTTCCTGTTCTTTTTCATCTGCAAGAATTTCGGTCAAACCGATCGTTCAATATATTTTACAACCCAGAGCAAATTGGGGGAAAACCAAAACGAAATCGAAAAGAAGAAAAAGAAAACATACCGAAAATCTGTGAAATGTATTTAATTCCTTTCATGAGGCCCTTAACAGAGGTACCCATTTTTCTTTCGTCTTCCGATTAGCTATAAACTGAAACCCTTAACTACCCGATCTCGAGAGGAAAAAGAAAAAGAAAAAACTTCAACCTAAATAATGAATAGTCCTACGCCTGCGATTCAAACAAAATTCACAATCACAGCTTAAATCAAAGCGTGATTTCCAAATAAAAGGGGGATTAAAGAGAAAGGGAGTGAAACCTGGTTGAGCGTAAGATTGAGGAAGGTAGACGTACGAGAACGGGCGGAAATGGGCAGGTTTTGATCGACGGTGGCCGGAAAAGGAAAAGGAAAATGGTGGGGGAAATGGAAGCCGGAGACCAGTCAATCAAAACCTGGTTAGTTGGGAGAAGAATCGATTATGACGGAACTACGGAAAGGAAGGCGTAGAAATCCGAATGGAAAACGCAGATTGATGAGCTAATCTTAGCGCAGGTTTTCAATGCCTGTTCTGTGAAAGCGCGGGAACAGCGGTTGGGATGCAACTGTACGGCCATCCACTTCGCAATATTTTCTCTCTTTATTTTTAATCACACCTTTTTTTTATTATAAATAAATAAATAAATAAAGTTTTATAATATTAGTTTCTCTCTAGATGGAGCTTTCTGAACCAGACGCTTCTTTTTAATTTTTAGTATCTCCAATTCACAATGCTATTTTAAATGACACTTTCTAAAAACAATATTTAATTATTTTAATTTCTTTATTTATTAAATGAGACTTAAATCTTTTTAATGACTTTATAATCTTCGATGCCATATTGTTAATTTTAGATGAAAAAGTTCGCTAAAAATGAGAAACTTACATATAAATATAATTGGAAATATGTGTATTCTCAATAAGGAAAATATAAAATAATTAAATATTAAAAATCAAATAAAATCTACCATAAATCTAATCATAAAATAAATGAAAAATATTAAGATATAATAAATAGGTTCAAACTTTATTTCAAAATTATTCTTAAACTATTGGTAAAAGAGTAGGGACAATAATAGTGTAGATTAGTCATGATGAACTTTTCAATATATAAATGTCAAAGGGATTTAAAGAGGATTCTACAAGATTCGAACTCCCGTTGGGACATAATGTGGTGATGAGCTAGTTGTGATTCAACACACAACAAAAGCGCATACAAAAATAGAAACATAAGATTATCAAATCACAGACAGAAATTTAAGGTCTTGAGGATTGTCTGAATTTGGATGTTAAAGGGATTTCAAATAAGCTATAACATATAGGTAACAATATAATCGAGACGGTCGCTCGATTTTCAGCAACGATCAGCCTTTTACGAAGCCTTCAGCTCGTCCATGCCAACACTAGCCTGTAAAAGAGAGAATTTCATTGGTCGGGTTCAGAGATGTTTTAATCTACTGGTTTATAACTAACTGATGATATACAAAATTCAAGATGAAAAAGTAAAGGATTGAATAGACTTGGAGATTCAATCTAAAACTAAATTTCAGATCGCCGAAGGCTCAGAAACTTCAGTTAATAAGCATAGCCATCTTGCAAAACTGATCTAGTTGCATCAAGTTTGAAAGTTTTAAGACAGCCCCTTCAGGAATTTGGGAAATCTTACCAGAAACTTGTGATTCTCTTCGAGGAGAGGTGAAAATTTTGAACAAAATTGCTCTATATCAGCTTCAACATTGCCATTGCCTGATATAACATCCATAAACTTCTTACGGTTGGGGGCAAGCTTCATGGCAACCTACAATTTCAGTATCCGATTAAAATCCACATATAATTTCTCATAACACGAATCATGGATTGAGCTTAACGATATAAAATACACTTAGTTAATTCACACGTTACAAATGTGTTTGCCACGATTCTGTAGCTCGTATCTTTTGCAACATGGTTTTGTTTCTTGAAAGTTTCAAGTCATGAAATGTCAACTCATATACTACACATTGCTTGTGAGGGATGAAAGAGTTTTAGACCCAAAGAAGCTGGACAATATATTCCAGAAATAAAACTGTGGAAATATGATTTGGCATTTTTTAAGCTTCTATCGAATTCCTAAAAGCACAAGTGGAAGGAAAATGAAGAAAGTGGGGAAAAAACACTGCTGCAACTAACAAACTGGGCCAAAAATCTCCTCATATACCAAAGAATATTAAAATTAAATTAGTGGGGGCATCAGAGGATTACAGTGAAACTTGAACTGGCCAGCCAACCATGCCACTTTTTCAAGGTCTTGCCATAGGCTTCTGTACAGGCACGGGACATTGTCCAATCCTGATGCTCCAGTAAGTTGCGGAACAGTTCTACCAAGAAATCCATGGCTCTGAAAAGAATCAAAATATGCAAGTAGAACCAAAGTGTGTGTTAATCAAATTGATCCAACTTGCAGGCTTATCCTAGATGTTTATATCTCTGGGTTTGGTTAAAAAGAAAGATTTACTACATAATTTTCTAAAAAAAGGAAAAAAGCAATTTGGTTCAGTCATTCACTCTAGATGCAAGTAAAAACTCGTTCCATGAATTAAGAAGTACGAAGAGCTACATTAAAAATGCTAACTCGCAGGTCACCTGCAATGCAACAACCAAGAAAAATGCAAGGATACACATCCAGATTGGGCAGGGGAAAACTGAATTAGTTCATTTATAACAGAAAACTATTTTGCATAATTTTGATAATCCCTTAAAAGTGTCTCATGGATGATGACGGAGGCTTCATCACCAGTTAGTTTTTGGTTCTGTAACCCTTAATGACAAACATTGTTAAAATTTTACATACTTATGTTCAAAAGCATCCTTGATAACATTCAACACGTGGATCTCTAGCTGTGCCAGAATCAAAAGGAAGCAACAAATTCACCAGACATTGCTAACCTTGTCAACCAAAGAAGACCATTAGTACAACTGGATGATCCTTTTGCAGTCTTACTTTCAATCTCAGGTTTCACCAAGTCATACAAGTAGTTGAATTCAGATGGGTTGGTGGAGTACTTGGACTCCAATCTCTACAGATACAAATAATAAGGTGAATAAAACATAACCGCTACAGAACCGAGTGCATTTCGACAAAAACACAAGCAATATATGATGTCAAAAACTTCGAAGGCATTCATTTGTCTACCTATCAGGAGTACAAAAAACACTCGCAGCTGTATATCACGAATGCACGTGAGATGGATGCAATTCTTTCTTTTTCAGGTACAATACATTTTCCTTTCACTACTTTTCCATATATGTTATTCGTTTACTCCTATCTTATTTGGCAAATAAACAAAAAATAATAAAAAATTAGCTAGTCCTGTGTTCAGTGATAGTGATTAGTAGCCTACAAAATAAAATAAGATACACATATAAAATTAAGTAAACAAATGCATATTATAAGCTTTGAAGTTTCCCCTCGTGTAAAACAACGTGGGCATCTTACCGCTATGTTGCCTCCAATGTCACTTTTAACAAGTGCCATAGCAGCTCCAAACTTGTCTGCATTAGAAATAATTGAGATTGATTTTAAGAATGACAATTCGTAAAACTGATCGGTCAGTGGTAATCTGATAATGAGCTTGCAATTATTTATGCCATGTTTCAGCCGGAATTCAATTTCGGTATGAAAATAAATGACATTAAAAGCTACAAAAACCTTAGAAAGACAAATCTAGTTCTCTAGTCCACCAACAGAGAAATGCCAGTCAACTAACTTCAAGCAGACAAATGATGAAGTCCACATTTATCTTCTTGATAAACTTTTCTCCACTCAAAATTAAATCATATGCAGCCAAACTCCAGGAAAATAGAGAGAAGTTTCTAAATTCAAAAGGGATCGGGGGGGCCGCACCGATAACAGGCAAAATATGTTTGCACACTTCCAAGAAAGGCTTGGTCAAAATCTCCCCTGCTTCAGATTTGACATGCTGAATTCCTTCCAGGGCAGGAGCGAACACAGTTCCCTCCATTTGTATTCTTTGCTGCATTCCAAACAGAGATCAATCACAATTATTGATCAGCATCAAGACAGTCAACTTAAATTAAGATGAAAGTTCTTATATGATTAAATCATACTACGATTTCATCTACCTTTTGCCCGAAACGAAAAGAAACGGAGAAAACACCGGGGAAATGAGATCAATAGACGATTCAACCAGATCACAGCCGAAAGCCGGAAACAAACCAGTACAATGAAGAAATCCGACAAATGAAGTAAGGAAATGCACACTTACGGTAAGAAAAGATCCTTTGTGCTGTGGTTTGTGCGGCTTTGAGATCTCCGATCGAAGCAATGAGAGTTGAATTGAAAAAAAAAAAGAGGAAATGATAGAGGAGGAAGATATCGGAAAACGCGGGATTCGAGCAGTAGATGTTCTGAGAATCTCTCTTCTAAATTTAGGGGTCCCGTTTCCACGACGCGAGACGAGAATCTCAACCCTTTTTATTATGTGTTGGCATAAAAATATATCAAAATTAAAATTTTTTTTAAACAAAAAAAGATAAAATTACATTTTTAACCTTCCAATTTAAATTTGATTACGTTTTCATCCCATAATCTTTTAAACGTTAATTTGGCACTAAATTCTTAAATTTTTTTTAATACGTTTCTTCGATGCCTCCCATTATATTATCCTTGTAGTAAATAATAATAATAATAAATAAATGATAATAATAATAATGCCTTCACGCGTTAGCCGACCGATTTTCCATTAATCACGTCCAATAAAATCGTCTACCGCTGCCAGCTGTATTATTTTTGCCAAATTATTTAATATTTCATTATATCCACAAACTTTAAGTTTTTTTTCGTTTATGTAAGCAATTTTTAAAAAAATTAATTCTCAGAGCATTTAAGATAATTAAAAAAAATGAATTTAAGATCATTTTATTTAATCAGATTAATTATTAAAATTATACTTAAAATGCAATTAATGTGCGTTTATAACGGTGTCCATGTCACAAATTTAATAGGTGGACTTGAACTTTAAAAAATACCTAAAATTTTAAATTTTATATTTAATAAAATTTCAATACTAGGTATTCTATGGTTAAGACATTTAATTATTTTTTCAATGTCAATCTGTAGGACTAACAAACCCGTAAAGATAATAATTAATTTATTTACATATTTATATTTAAATAATAAATTCATACTTTAATTTAGATTAAAAAATATATAACTTTGTTATAGAAATGAGAGATATTCTAAAAATTAAATAAGGATGGAGAATGATATTCCTAGGAATAAAATTTTTGAAATTCATGTAGTTTAAGTATGTGGTAGATAAATTATTATTCTCTAATCGAGAATAAGAATAGAACCAAACCATTTAAAAATAAATAATCGAGAATTCATATAGTTTATGTCTAAATTATTTGTCCCTTGAAATTGTATTTATGATGTAATAACACGTCATCGTATTTGCTTTTATTATTATTATAAAA